TGAAAACTAGAGCAACAAAGAGGTAAACTGAAAATGGGACTGAACTACAGAAGCTGTCAGTTTGTAGCAAAGGGGTTCACCTTTCAAATTTTTTTGTTGTTTAAATAAATTGAATACGTGTTTTAAAAGATGTTGTTTATTTACTTTTAGAGAGGGGAAGGGAGGGAGAAAAACATCATTGTGTGGTTACCTCTCCCGCACCCCCACCTGCGGACCTGGCCCGCAACCCAGACTTGTGCCCTGACTGGGAATCAAACCGTCCACCCTCTGGTTCACAGGCTGTCACTCAATCCACTGAGCCACACCACCCAGGGTAGAATAAATTTTTTAAAAGACGATCTCCAGTGAATCAAATAGGAAAAAGCAATAAGCCAAATGGGAAAATGGACAAAGAGGAAAAAGAAACAGGAAGAAACAGCATGAAAAGATGCTCCACCTCAATAGTAACCAGGAAGATGCTGATTAAAATCCTAAAAAGATACTATTTTACACTGACCAGGGTGAAAAAATAGTCTGACAATACCAAGTGCCAGTGAAAATGTGGACCCCCGGAAACTGTTTAGTCAACATTTCGGGTTTCAGTGTACATTGGGACGTCTGGCATCATGTTGTAAAGTTCAACAGGCATATACTCTAAATCTTGGCATTCTACTCCTAGTTATATGCCCTAGAACATTCTAGCATGTGCGCACAATGAGATCAGTTCTAGATAGTATTGTACATAATAGTATTGTACATAATAGAAAAGGAAAGACTGGAAAACACTCCAAAACACGGGCGCAGTCGTGTGTCTGTTGTTTTCCACGTGGCCTCCACGGACACCATGGCATGAAAGGTCTCTTACCACCAGAGGGGTGCAAGAAAGCTCTGCTGGGGAAGCGGGCGCCTTGTTCCAGCTGCTGACGGGGGAAATGAGGGCTCTGCCCCGGGCTTTTGCTGAGAGGGGTGACTACTTTTACTGAAGTTTTTCCATAGTATTTAGATGGACTCAGGGAAGTCATGGATGAAACATTTTCTGTCTTCTTAGCTTGCCCCTTTCTTGTTCCTTGGGTGAGAAAAGCTTTTCTTGGGGCGTTTTTTGGCCTGCTCCTACTTGCTTTCCTGAGTTGTTAGCTTCTCTGGCACCCGGCATGGAATTTATTGGGCCAAACAGAAACTTAGGGAACTTACTACCGAGTCTTTCCTTGGGTCTCTGGTTAGTCTGCCTTCTGCTCTTCACCTTTCAGCATTTTGGCAAATGTTGGTGACGTATGTAACATCCTGGAACTTCAGCTGTACTTGGTGGAAGTAAGAAGTGCCTCTCTTTCATCATGGGCTCATAATGAAACTCGGTTCTATTAATTCTTGATAAAAATGCCACATCAATTCAATAGGAAAAATACAGATTTTTCACAAAAGGTTCTGGAAAACTGAATATATTACTGAAAATAAGTGGGCCTCAATTCTTTCTTTGCATCATATATAAAACTATCTTATAAGGATCATAGATACAAACCTTAGGTCTAGAAGTATAAAACTCCTAACAGAAAGCATAAGAAAAAAGATTTCAGGAAATATTTCTTAGACATGATACACAAAGCACCAACCTTCATATAAAAAAATGCATTTGACTTGATGTCACCAAAATTTAAAATTTCTCTTTAAAAGATGCCTTAAAAAAATGAAAAGGCAAGTCATGGACTGAGAGAAGGTATTTGCCATGAATAATCTGACAAAGGAGTTGTTTCCATGACACTAAAAGCACCACTGTTAACTCAGCACTAAAAACCTGAATGGCCTAATTAAAAGTGAGCGAAAGCTCTGCACAAAGACTTCACAGAAAGAGATACGTGGCTGGCCAATCAGCATATGATACTTTCACTGGTCATCGGGGAAAGGGAAAACTATTCCACAATGAGATACACTATAGACCCACATGGGTTTTCTGTTCCCACAGCAACCAGCGACCTCAGCCTGAATGGCGGAAAACCACCCAATGTATCCCCTTTCACTGTGGTGAGTTGGAAGTCTGAGGTGGGTCTCGGTGGGCTGAGATCAAAGTGGGCAGCGGGCTGAGAGGCCATAAGGAGGGTGTTCCCTGCCCTGTTCCAGCCTCCAAGGGCCGTCCAGCCACACTCCTGCCCTCGTGGGCTCTTGCCGCCGTCTTCCAAGCCCGCAGCAGTGGGTGAAGTCCTTCTGTCGTCACATCTTCCTGTGACCAGAGCCAGGAATTCCACTGTTAAAGAGTTGTGAGGGCCCTGCTGGATAACCCAGGATAATCTCTGCAGGTTAGGGTAGGCTTTAACTTGGGTCACACCTCTCAAGTCCCTTTGGCCACGTAAGGTCATTCATTTACAGGTTCGAGGGATGAGGACGTGGGAATTATTAGGGGGAAGTGTCAGTATTTTGCATGCCACAACGCCCACTGTTAAAACATCAGACAACACCAAATGCTGGCAAGGATCTGGAGCAAGGGAAGTTCTGCGTTGCGTGTGAGAATGCAAATGGAGCCGCCATCTTGGAAAACAGCCGGGCAGTTTCTGCAACGGCTGAGCATGCCTTTACCATACGACCCCGCAATTCCGCTGCTAGCAATATTCGCCTAAGAGAAATGAGGACACATGTCCACAAACATCGGTGTTCGCAAATGGTCATGGCAGCTTTATGCATAATAACGCAGAACCGGAAACACCCCAATGTCCATCGGTGTCAGCCAGTCCAAACTGCAGGGTGGCCACACAGTGGATACTGCTCAGCATTAAAAAACCAAACTACTGATGATACATGCAACAACATGAATCAATCTAAAAAACGTGATAAAAGAAACATGGCTTGATTCCTTATAGAAAGGATTCTTGAATATGAAGGGAAAACTGACCGATCAGGACCGAAAGCAGACACCGGGGGCTTGTCGCAGGCACAGCTGGAGGACAGACTGCCGGCAGGCCGGAGGGGACTGGGACCCATTCGTCACAACTGATTGGACTACTTCCAGTGCTCTCCCTTTATTGTATGTAAATTCTTCCTCGACGTGGTCGTTTTAAAAAGTATAACAAGGCAAAAAGTAGTGAACTGGATGGATTCAATATCAAGTTAATTACCACTGAAGAGGAAACTTGTGAGTAACCTGAGGGAACAGCACATAACATGGCACAAAGAAAGGGAAAAGGCTGTGAAAAGAAGAGGTTAGAGGACGGGAAGGATAACGGGGACGGGCCGTACGCCTTTGAACAGAGACAAGACAACACTTTGGGACCAGAACATGTCCTGACGTGATCCAAGACAGAAGGCAAGACAAATAAGAGAAATTCATGCTGAGATATAAGGGAATGATAGTAAATCATTCTAATCATAAACGGAAAAGTTCAGAAGCCGTCATCATTCCTTAATAATTTTATAGGTATTAATTTAGCGTTTTCCTCCTGTTCCCACCCCTCCCCCAATGGATTATAGATTCTCTGAATGAAGCAATCCACCCTTCGGTACTTGGGTCAGTCTTGGATCAAGACTTGGTGGTGGTTGGAGCGAAACTCTGGAGTCGGAACTGTGTTAGAGTGCCTGACCCGCCACTTGTTTCCTCCCTGACCTTGAGCAAGCCGAACCTTGTAGGCCTCAGTTTTCTCGTCTATGAAATAAGAATGATAGTCATTCACAGGTCTTAGAGTTATTGTAATGTTAAACGAGAAGGCACATGTAAAATTATACCAATGCTAGTGATTGTTGTCAACTGAGTCAGGGGTTTGAAAACCATGTATTATTCACCATATGAGTCGGACCAGTCAGTTAAACTCTCTGCGTCTTCACTGAGAAAAATTGGGGCACCTACCGCAAAAGACTGAGTTGAGGAGAAAATGAGTTAACATTTTGTGACAGCCTTGTAGACTGTAAAATTACATGAAAACGCCAGAGGTTGTTACTATTTCCGCTTCATCCTTAACTTCGTCAACTTTTATTGTGAATACTGATAGCAGCGGTGAGCAGCTGAAAAGTACGAAGGAAAAGCAATTACTGCCTCACCGTTTCTAATTCAATGTGCGGAGAGAAGGAATGCGGAGTCACGTGAAAGCACCTACGACAGAATCACTTAAACACAGATAACCCCAGGGGCACATCGGCACCCCAGGGTGGTTTCCGGGGGGCTCTGCCCTGCGGGATTCGGGCTGCACTGCTGTGGGAAGCCTTCCTGCTGGCATCACAGTTCGCTTCCTCTGCAGACCTCTGCTCCTCCTGGAGGCTCTCCCTGAGCTCCAGACTTAAATCGTCTCCTCTGTTTTCCTACTGTACTCTCTGTACTTTATGGACATGATTTGTTTTTACAGCCCTATCATCTCCAAACAGAGTGATTCAAAGGGCATACAATTATGAACTGCCAATTACATTTCCAGTCTCAGCGTTTGGCACATGGTGAGAACGAATAATTGGTAGCCGTGGCTACATCAGGTGCAATGACACACTTCAGGGGCACCAGGCGTGCACACAGGTAACTGTCAGACACACTGAGGACTGTCAAAATGGCAGCATGGGACCAGTAGGACGTCGGCACAGAAAAGGGACCGACCCACTCGTCATGGCAGACAGGGGCTCCGAGAAGGACTCCCAGAGGACGGTAGTAACTTGCTAGCAGGGAGCATGACAGCGACGGCCTGGGGAAAGGCAGCAGCATATCCAAGGACACAGATGCATCCAGCGCCATCGCTTATTTAGGGAACTGCAAGTAGCTGAGATGGTTACAGAATTAGGTTCGAGTGGGAGAGTGGTGAAAAGGAAGTTTGGAAAAGACTGGAGGAGCAAAATTGTGGGGGTCCTGGCAAAAGAAAGTGTAATAGCTTTAGGCATCAGGAGTCATGCACATGTTCTGTATACAGTTATATGTTGAAATTTATTGCTTTTAGCAATATTGATTTTTCTGTATTTTACCCATACACCGATATAGAACAGAGCTGTAAGAATTGCATGTTTTTAATTCCGAGAGTACGTTGCTTTGAAATTGTAATCCCGGTGTGCTTCGAGAGTGCACAGGCAATCCTCTCTTACCTCATGACTGCCTTGGGGATGTCATCGAAAGGCCACAGTGGCCCAAAGAGTCCACACCCGCCGGCTAGCAGCGCACTCATCTTCTCTCTTCTCAAACCGGTTTTAGCTCGCCTGGCACATCCTAGCGCAAAGGAGACTTCGGTTAAACGGGCCTTTAAGATACGACCTCTCCCCGATGGTGGTAACTTGTCTTTTCAGCTAGTATAGCTACAATTATGACATCACTGGGCCGCTCCAGGGGTCAGGACAGGGGTGGTCCTCAGGAAAACAAATAGTTCATCTCTGTGCTTTTCTCCTTCTGCAGGTTCTTTGAGAAGATAGTTGTGTGGTGTGTCAACCTGGTGATCCTTAAAGACATGTAGTCAAGTGAATGTGTCATCCAGTGTAAGTTAGGTCTGTGTATTTCATCTTACACACACACACACACGCATTTATGCAAACAGAAAAAACGCTTATGTTTGCAAATTTGTATACGTAGATATACACATACAGGTTCAACTGGAAGTTCTCTGCAAGAAAGCATGGCTACTGCATGCTTCCACGTGTGTGCTTTTGGAGAGGTGTTCCCGGCATGGTGAGGGAGGAAGCGGACCCGCGTGTGTGCAGCCGGGTGAGCTATTTATTACTTTCATTAAAACTTATGAGCAGGCATGGCTTTAGACACGCGTGTGCAAAAACGAACAGACGTGGTTTCTGACTTGAAGCATTCTACCTAAATCTACCCCCCCCCCCCCGCACACACACAAAGTGAATAAATACATGAAACGGGAAGCTGGAAACTGGGGAGACGAGTGTGGAATCGTTACACACTTCCTGCCTGTCCTGCAGAGGGCGCCCGTCCCAGAACGGAGGCTACGGGAATGACTTGAAACACGGCCCTTCCCCTCAAATATTTCAAGTCCACAAACAGGCAGTGAGAGAACGGGCAGCTGGCATCTCAGCCGTGTCCCCACACAGCTGCATCCCAAGTCAAATGGCTTTGTGTTACTCTGAACGGCTCACCTATCGATTCCGTCCGTGGGAAGATGCCGCACCCGGTCTTTTTAACCTATTGCTCCAGTTCCATAGGCTCTCACAATGACAGACGTTCCAAGCTGGAATCACGAGGTCAGCCCAACCTCTTGTCCAGCACTCCTCTGGTCCGTGCGTGCGATGCGTCCCAGTGCGACCCGGGGCTGAAGACGTCGTCTGGACGGGGTGGAGTCAGCAGCGACCAGGTTTGCAAGCAGGGGTTTCCTCTGAAGCCGCGGCAGCACAATCATACAGTTTCTGGAGCTGGAAAGCACAGGACAACCACCGCCACGCACGCCTCGGCTGGAGGGGGTTGAAAGCTAGCTGGTCACCAAGGAGTGCCTCTCCTCTTCACCTCTTCGAGAAAGGTGGCACATAACATGGGTGTTTGTGACATACCCTCTGAGTCATGAGGAACAGAACCAGAACTGCCAGCGCATTCTGGACTGGCTCCCAGCAACTGCCAGTTCGAGATAATACCTTCACGGAAGCCAGGCGGGGTAGTTCGGTTGTTCAGTGCCGGCCACATGTGCCAGGGTTGCTGGTTTGATCCCCGGTCAGGACACATAGGAGAATCAGCCAACAAATGCATAAATAAGTGGAACATCAAATTAATTTTTCTCTCTCGCTCTTCCTCTCCCTCTCTCTAGAATCAATAAATAATAAAAAAAAATAGTAACTTGGAAGTTGGGTGGGAAGTGAACCTGTGCCCGCAGGGTTAGTACGTTATTTCCCAGTGGATGATGCGATCCCAGCCTCATAAACACGGGGCGGAAATTAAATCCTTGTTATTTGAGTTTAAAGCTTTTAGCTTGTTCTCTCTCTTGCCCTTCTCTTCCCCCCATCTCCTCCTCCTGCCTCCCTCCCTTCCTCTTCTCGGTGTGAGTGTGCGTACGTGCGTGTGGACAGCACTTACATCACAAAAGTGATTGCACCTCGGAAACAGAATTGCTTATGCTTTTGGAAATTTCCCGCCAAATCCATGTCTCTTCAGTGCGGTCATCACCACGTCAGGAAAGGGGCCAGATCAAAGACCATGGGAATAAGGTCGCAATAAGGTTGCAAACTTTGCAATACTTTGCAAACTTTGCAATTGCGGTTGCAATAAGGTCAGAATCCTTCCTGGGTGTGTTAGTGACAAGACAGATTTAAAATTCACTTCATTTTCATTCACACTTCAGTGCCCGGCCCGCACTGCCTTTCTTTCTTTCTTTCTTTTTTAAAAGAGCGAGAGGTAAAAAAATAAGACGCTGCCACTTCAAGCTGGGCAAACCGTAAACTCCTTCTCTCAGAAGGACCCGCTCCCCTCACTGGCCCACGAGCTCCTCCTTTCCAAGTGAGTCACGTGGGAGGGCGTCAGCGTCGCTCTGACTGAAAGGTGCGAGGATGCCCTCGCCAGAAACCCACGGAGTGAAAGCGAAGTAGACAAAACACTGCGTGTCCATTTACCACATCTTCAGAAAAACACGGGGACGTGCTTTTCCTTTAAATGCTGTCTTGACTGAAGGCCACCAGACAGACCACCTCCCCCATAGCCCAGGGGCCGTGCTGGCGAAGATCCCTCCATCTGAGCTAAGGAAGAAGCACGGACAGCTTCAACGTTTTTAGTGAGACTGGCTTTATTTGACCTTATTAAAGACCTTCGTGGCTCCCGGAATACCTTTTGCTTTTAGACCCGGTGGTGTGGGGTAGGACAGATTCCAAGGTTATTCTGTTGCCAGGACAGTTGAGTGTCTAATGCCGTGGAAGCTGAACAGACACGAAAAGCCTGAGCTGGAAGGTCAAGGATAAACCACAGGGACGCATGTGCTGCTCCTTCCTTCTGCTGGCCGTTTACTCGGAGCAAAGAAAAAGTGAAACGGGTCCCTGGAAGCTCTTCATATTGGCTTATTTCTGACTTTTCTACTCTGGACTTATGTTATTGTTTCATGTTTTATGTCATTAATATAGTTTGGGGGGTGTGTGTGTGTGTGTTTTTAAATGAGTTGCAGTTTTGATCTCTTTCCTTTCTTCCTGGTGTGACTTCATTGTGATCGCATGGGACTTGAGCTCAACACGTTTTCTGTTGTTCGGTTTTTATGAAGTTCGCTGTCCCGCACAGTGAGAAAGTGGCAGTGAGACAGTGGGCAGTTGGGCAGATGTGAACGGTGCAGGGATGACAGGCGGGTACAGAATGTGACCCGCGCAGGAAGTCTCAGGGGCCATGGGCAAAACGAGAGGAAGCGACTGTTACAGGCCAGGACCTCGCTCCAGGGTGACCCTCCTTCCTCCAGCATTTCGTTAGCCGTGCAGTTGGGCCCCCTTGGAGGGGGAATGAGGGGGCCAGAGAATGGCCTCCTATGACTCCCTTACAGTCCCCTGCAGGGCCCCTCCCTTCAGCGTTAAGCCCTCAGGACGGTAAGATTCTGATCAGCATCAGACACTCTCGGGAGCCAGGCCTTGGGGCTGTTCACCACAGATACAGAGTTCTGGTCAAACTGGAGATCACCTCCAGGCCTCAGCTGTGTCCCAGACCCAGAAAGGCAGCAAACGCAGATGAAGCGACGCCATGGCTGACATCAGGGCCAGCTGAGACGACCTACGGCACCCTGGCCTAGCGCCGGCCCATCAGTCGAGACCACGATCCTGGGAAGGCACGCCCGGCAAGTTAGTGAATATGCTATCCAGAGCCTCCCCTGAGACCTCGCCCGGCACTCCTGCCTTTAGGAAACCCATAAAAACCCTTAAGGCAAGGGGCCCAGTTCCACCACGGCCCTGCACACATACGCCTGCACCTTCTTTCTCTGGCGTGCACCTCTGTTTCCTTTCTCCTCAGCTCCAAGGCCCTTCTTTGGCCTCCCACTTACTTCCCGCACCCTGCAGCCCGGCTGGCTCGCCTCTTCGGCCTCCGCGCCTTTCCACATGAGCGTCTCGCATTAGGCTGCCTGGCTCCGGATTCCTTCTTAACTGAACTCAAGAACCCAAGTCTAACTCCACCACTAACAGCAGCGTTTCTAATTTCACTGCCATTCCTCTTCTGCTGTTTGCCTGCAGTGGTAAAGCTACAGCATCTTACATTCTGAGGTTTCCTAGCCCTTGTCAGGTTCCTCACTTTTATCCTTGTCTTCTCTCCTTGACCTCTATTGCTTCATTCCGGCTAAACATGGAGCCCTGTCCTGGTGGGCCAGATTTGAGAGTTCTTAGACAGGGACTGCCTCGCCCTTAGGGCTGACAGCAGGTGCTTCGTACTCACACGCTGCTGGGTGAGCGATGCCTTTCTCAGACTCAGGTCCTCTTCTCCACCCGACTGCGGCAGAATGCAGGCACCATCTCTCGGGTGCTTTCTGCTTCCCTTACCCTCAGGAGAATCCAATGCCTTGTCATTCTCCCTGCTTTTTCCTCTCCGCTCAAGTGACAACAACACACAAGTCTTGTGGCTGTCAGTACTTTGTCTCTGTGTGCTTGTGCTTTGAGGCTTGTGTTGTATCTTGCTGCTCAGTTTTAGTGGATTTTTATTTTTGCTATCTAAGTACTGTCTTTTTATTTTAAAAAAGTTTTTTTTAATACTGTCTTTTTAATGTGGTGATTTAGGAGAACTCAAAAAGCTACATTGCCACTACCATCTTCCTAGAATCCCACGAGAGTCGGTTTTGTTTTTAATATATAGATAAGAAACCTGAGGCCCAAGGAGGCGAGGTCATCTGCACAAGACCACACACCAAGCCGCAGGAGATATGTATACATGAAAGCATCTTGGTAAGTGCCCGATACAGAGAAACTCTTTAACGTGCTCTCTTTTCCATCCTTCTTCCTTCCTTCCTTTCTCCGATCCTCCCCCATTTCCTCCGGAGCCAAGTTTAAACCCACTTGTTTCTGATCCCAAAGCTTCTGTGAGCTCATTTAATATGCTTCCACCCCAGAGTGTGAAGTCACTGGAGCTCATAATTCAGCAAAACCATTTCAACAAAATTAGTTTCATTAAAACCTCCACCCTTGCGCTAAGAACGTTTTCCTCGGTGTTTTAATGCTCGCATGCTTTTCAAACGGACTCGGGTAAATTGATGCCCTTATTTTAATGAATCTATTTATAGGCATTATATAATCCTTTAAAAGCCTCCTTTTCATCTTCCACTACCACCCAGGGAACGACATTCGATAAAGAGTAAATGAAATCTGAACCTGAAAAACCCTGGTTTCACTTTCCAATTTAAAACCCACCGAATTTAAAGAGATTTTCAACTCGGCCAAAATAAAATGTCCTGCTTTTGAAAAATCTTATAAAAGCAGTGTTTTGATTAGAAAACTATATGGTTCTGAGACACAGGTCCATGAAATCCCAAGCTCCACTGGTCAGGGTACTTAGTTCCCGATATTTGACATAAACCGATTCATTCAAAAATTCAATGTGCCGTGAAGGCCCCTAAAGAATTTATACTGTACACTCATTATGTAAAAACTCCAATTTACTAATTCTCCATAATCCTCTATGTAAGGCCAATTAGTAATTAGATCACGGGGAGCAGAATTTTGCTGTAGGTATGAAATCACCATACAAGTCCTAGGGGGTGCATAGCTCTGTTTCAAGCCAGGGCCTTCATAAAATCCTGTTGCAGTTTTTGGCTCGGTAATGGATTTCCCAGGTCGGTGATACACCACACAGAAAATGCCGTTTCCTTATTTTTTTTCCTCCCTGAACTTCCTGCTCTTACTGTGCAGGCTTAGTTCACACTGTTTGAATTTACTTATTGTGGTTTGCATAAAATTATCCTTCACTCATCTACACATAGTAGATAATGATTATTTGCCTATAAATCTAACAGGTACTGAGTTTTATTTACCCTCCTTCTCTGTGGGCACTCTCTGAACAAACAGGCAGTTGTTCTTGAAACCTTTTCCACTTTTATGGGACTTGGAACTGGTTCTCCTTATTGCTTTGTGTGCTTTTTAGCAGCTTGAGGCTCCTTCTTTCATGGTGTTTCCTCTGGAGCTGGTGTGAACAGAGGCTCTTGGAAACGGCCGAGTGTTAATAACCTGGAGTGCGTCTTGCTCCATGTAAAAGATTGATTCTCCAGGCTGCCGGGAGCCGCGGCAGAGGCGGGCCCTCCACGGCACACACGGATGTGTGCTCGGTCACGAACGGTCCCCCACCTACGCACACCGGCTCACGCTGTCTGATTTCGCGTGTGCAGAAACAGGCCAGGAAACCTGACCCGTGTTGATTGGAATGTTGCTTTGCATTCATTTCCAGAATATTTGGGGCCTCACATGTGTTTCTCATTAACACTCATGTTTGATTATTCTACGTAATTTTTTTAAAAATTAAATAAACCTGTATCAAAAATTGTCACTTTGCTTTAAAGAAGCACAATTAGCCCTCTTTGAGGGAACTGACAGAAGAAAAAAAAAAAGAATGGGAATAAATATTTCTGCTCCTTTACACATATTTCCATAAATGAGAATGGCATTAAGACATAATGATACATTCAAGGTTCAAGGGATTTTCAATCGCTTTTAACCAAATCAAGCACAAAGTAGCATTAGTTAAACAAAGAAACTCATTGAAAACAGAGCCCATTAATAAAATGTGGTTTAAGAATCATGTCTGTTTTAAATATATGTTCAGAATTAAAAGTTACTGGGCCAGAGATCGAAAGTTAAGTAAGTTGATACCTGAACATAAGTATAAATTTGGAGGTACATTGTTTCAATCCACAAAGGGATGATTTTGTGAAGTATGATACCCTGCTTAGGCCTAAAGCACTTCCTAAATTTCTGCAAATACAGTTATTTGAATCTGTTCATAAATTTACATAACCACGTGTGGGCTGTTCTCAAACTTCGCTTGTTAATGCTGTGGTCCCTCTAAGACAGAAGGAAAAGAACCCACAACTACCCATCTACCTGTCTATCTATCTGAATCCAAGTGGCTAAATGAACTGTTTCAAGACCCAGCTATCAGGCGCCCGTTGCCTCGTAAATGTGTATTGTTTCAGTTTACTCTTCCATCCTCTGCGTTTTGGATACTGTTTTGTGTACTAGTCATATCTTTTATTTTCCATATGTGCCATCTTGGGGGTCTTGAAGACTCAGGGAGGGGCTGCCCCTGCCAGGGTTACCTCCTCCCTAGAGATAGCAACACCTGGCCTGGGAACACACCTTTGATAGGCAAACCAATCAACCAAAGCCCTTACCTCTCATTGCTTTCTCTTTCAAATTCTCACAGGTAAGCCAATAGCCCCCCTGCCCTGAGTTGCCCAGGGCCAGGACCAGACAGCCCACCCCCGAGCCCAGAGCCCACTGAAAGTATTCAAACCCCCGGATGCTAAGCGTACCCCGTGCACAGGCTGCCCAGCTCCTTCCTCTCCTCAAAAAGGCTCTGGCCCATCATCATCCCCCTCTTCTCCTGCTGCCTCCCGATTTACCCACGGGCTTCCCCGGGGGCCCTGCCGACCGTAGGGTGCCCCTCTCCTTGGGAGCGGTGGGTGATCAAGCGTCTGCAGGGGCAGCCGTCTCCGGATCTGCCGGCCTCGCCGCACCTGGTGAGAACAAATCCCGGGCACGGTTTCCGACCCTGGGGCGCCCGGCCGGCCCCACGCCAGCCTCTTCTGCGCCCTAGGAGAGTCCCTGCAGCGCTTCCTCACTCTGGGCCTTGTACTGCGGCGCCTCTGGAACAACTCCTGTCCCAGAGGAGACCCCTGAACTAGGGGTGGCTGGGCACCGTGTCCCCTGGCTTCTGAGGGAAAGGTGACCCAATGTCCCCTGCTGCCCGGGGAGGGAGAGGCCGTCCCACCGTGACGTGCCCCTCCTGCTGAGCCCGCCTTGGCTCTGCCCTCGTCTCAGCCACGACCCGTCTCATCTCGAGAATCTCGCCTCAGATCCCAGGTCTCCTGTGAAATGCAGGAGCCTTCTGCCCGAACTTGCAGACTCGTCTCTGCTCTTCTCAGGCTACACTTTCTCTCCCGTTTCCGCCCAACCACCTCCTTACCGTCTAGCCAGACTTGCACCGATCCTTAGATCCTCATGAAATCTCCAATAATGCCCCCTCCTTTCCTTTCATTCTATTTAGCTAAACATTTTATAATTTTTTGTCTTTCCCTCTCTACTTTATGTGCATTTTTATTATCTAGCCAGATGACTAGATTTTAAAATACCCGAAGGAAGCCACAGAAGTCGAGCCCAGTCTATCCTAATTCTATGACTTAGGAGCTGTATCAGTCTGCTCGGATGTTCACAGCAAAATACCGCAGGTCAGGCGGCTCACACAACAGAAACGTACTTTCTCAGCATTCTGAAGGTCCCAGTCCGGGCGGGCGAGCCAGGGCCGGCTCCCCGGGAGGCCCCTCTCCCCGGCTCGGAAACAGCCTCCTCCTCACTGCGTGTTCACGCGGCCTTGCCCGGGCGCGTGCGCCTGGAAAGAGAGAGGAAGAGCGAGCTCTCCGGGGCCTGTCCTTACGAGGACGCTGGGCTCACCGGAGTACTGCTTGGATTCCCGAACGCTAGCATGCCGTCGGAGGACGCCTCCAGTCTGGCTCCTCCGTCCCTTGCCGGCCCACCCACCACCGCTTCTCTTCTCCAGTCCTTTAAGACTGCGCCTGAAATGCCGAGTCCCCGAATACGTGCCGTACCTTAGCGGTGCCGGCTGCTCGCTCCGGAGGTCTGCTCTCTGGCTCACGCCCCTGGCCAACTCTCACTCGTCTCTCCGAGCCACCTCCAGGAAAATAGTTGCTGATTCTCGACAAAGAACGAATTTCTCCCTTTTCTAGGCTCCCCCGGCACTGCTGTTCAGACTGTAGACTGTGTTACAGCAGTGTAGCTTGCTTTGCCCGCGTGTTTATCACCGGGTAGGGTGTGAATTCTTTGAGACACAGAAGTGTGACTTTCGCACACTCGTTTCTTCCTCCTCAGCCCATCTCAGTTCCGAGGAACCTAGAACAGTTTGTCTTCCACTCCGTGGAGGGTTGGGGTAACAAGGAAAGTCGGTGAATCAGGTAAACTGGCACATAGTGGACACTAAAATAAAGTTGCATCTTAGAATAAACACTTCTTTCTGAGCTACGGGACTGCATTAACCTTGGGTTTTTTTTATGTTAATGGCTTAGCCAAGTGGGCAATGCAGGATGGACTGACTCCATAGAGGAAGCCACAGGCATGCGTCCACAGGAGTTGGGCAGGGTCACTGAGGACAGGATACCACGGGCATCACTCACTCGCAGGGTCACTGGGAGTTGGAGCCAACTCAACGGCACGTAACGCACACAAAGTGACCAGCATACAACTCATAGATGACTATTACCATAGGATAACGCGGGTCATTCAAACCAGAGTCAGGATGGAAGAAGAAAACCTTCAGGGATTACATGGGTGGTTGAGTGGTTGACCTAAGGGTGTCCTAATCTCTGACATCAAGTGCTACCTGTGATGCGCATGGTTAGCCTCGGCAGGAATTTATGGGCCAAACAGATGCTGGCCGTGGTGCTGAAGACTGAAACGGCACGTGAGGGTGTCCTGGCCACATGGTCTTGCCTGTCATCATAAAAATCAAGTCGGCGCTAGTCTAGCATGACTTCACTTTATTTCACGGGTTACATTGTAACACGTACCTGTCCACAATGATCTCACTGCCCACCACGCTCACCAGTTCAAACCAGTGTTCCTCTAAAGAACATCACTCCTGAATCATTTAGTTTTTTTCTCAGGGACTTACAGTGTGAGTGTAGTTACCTGTCATTCTCTTATCACAGCTCCTCGTGGAAGAACTGTGAGTTATTTCATAAAATTAAGACGCTGTCAACCAAATCAAGATACAAGTGCCAATAAACATTCCTAAGAGGTCAGAACTTTCATTGAGGAAAATCAGGTTTACTGTGTAGGCATTCAACCTCAAGATTACGTACTGCACAAGTTTTTCCTTCCAAACATACTTTTAATACTTGTAATAAGGAGCTAGGAAAGGTGCTCAGAGTAGGGAAGTTCTGAACTTTGCAGAATTGATATTAATCTTGAGACAGATTGGGTACACAATATCCTTCTGTTATGTTAGATTTAGGTATGAACATTTTTATGTAAAATGTGTGTGTAACTAAGGCTCAGGTGAAACCTCAGTGGGTAAGAAGTGAAATGTCCCTATGCATAAACCTTTCAAATTCCGTTTAGGTGAAGGTCATTGGATAATAGTATCTAAATGTACAGGAGAGGAAATAAAAGAACAAATCTCTCAAGTGCTGTCACGGAAACATTTTCAAAGTCATTACCTTCCCACCCTGTGAGCTGGTTTTAAAGCTACACTTCTGTCTTACTTATCCCACACAATTGTTGAAGGAGTGAACTGGGAGATTGAACATATAGGTGCTTCTTGACTTACAATGGGGCTCTGTCCCAGTAAACTCTGTCGTAGGTTGAAAGTATCATAAGTCGAAAATGCATCCAATTTACATAACCGACTGGGCATCATGGCTTAGCCTGGCCTGCCCTAAGTGTGCTCAGAGCACAACACCCAGGACCGCGGGGCACGCAGCCCATGGGAGAGCGCCGGCGGTTGACTCTGAAGGCCTCCCTGGGGCCTGCAGCTCACCCACGGCCCCGCATCGGGAGAGCGCGCCGCTGGCCTGGGGGAAAAGAAGCAAAATTCAAATGTGAAGCATGGCATCTACTGAACGAGTATCGCTTTTGCACCATCATAAGTTCAAAAGGTCGGACTGCCCTAAGCCGGGAACTGTCTATAAACTCATTTTGGAAATGAACCTTTCCCATGCAAGATTTTGTTTTTAGTATTTCAAACTGGGCCTTGAATCCAAGACTTTTCACCTTTTATCTGACTCATTTCTGTGCACAGGGCGCCGGTTAGACCAGGATTGCCTCATAGCCTTAAAAACTTGGCTACACATGAAGTGGCATTGTCCGCCCCTTACCCTGCATTGTTTCACAGGTGCCCCGTTCCCCGGAGCCCCATGCAAAGGGAACAGAGGTAAGGCCACCAGGCACCTGTCCGTCCTGCTCCACTGATCTCCTCCCCAGTCCTCCATGTCTTCGCTGCATTGGGAGCCACGGGGCTGTCTCATACTGCCTCTAAGGTGCTGGCACCGTCTCGGACCCTGAGAGCCCACCGGTTCTGATGGTAGAGAGAATGGGGCTCACCCAAGGTCCAGGGGGCCCCTGACCCAACCCAACCTCCCACTTCTGGTTCCTGCTCTCCAGACACAACTCTTTTCACTGTTTCCTCCGCATTTAACAGCTTATCTCTAAATACCATGCTTCTACCGCTACTTCTTAACATTTCTCAGTTATACATATTCCCTACTGACGTCCCTTGAGTGGAAAGTGACAACTAGGGCTTCTTACACCCCTACTTTCTACCCCATTTCACTTCTTCTTTTGTTTAAAGTGCCAACGCACAATTTTTGTTAATTTTCAATATTTGTACTATTATGATTCTACGAATAATGTTCACAGCTGTGTCACATGATGATTTAGATTGTAATGCTTTTATAACATTTGGTTTTCTCTGGAATCAATAAATACCTCCTTTTTTAAGTTCCTTGGAGTTTTCCGTACCTATCACCAATTTCTCCCTACACTCTGTTAACCTGCTCCCACCACTTCCAACAATTCCGGAAACTGACTCAGCTCCTCCTGGAGACGCCCATCCTCCTGCTCTAAGGTGGGCCAGTGATGTTCTAGAACGACGGCACCCCTGCTTCTGGGAGCTTTCTTTTCACTGGCATCCTGGGATTTTTTTTTCTTTTTACATGGATTCCCTATTTTCCTGGATCCTTTTTTTACATGGATTTCCTACTTTCCCGGATCCTATAGATTCAAAACACTTCATGCCTCTTAGTCCCCTTCTAAATCATCGCATTCTGCCCTTTCATTTTCACAATGTCACCTTTGAGCTTCAAGAGCCCGCTATTTTTTTTCTCAGTGTTAATAGAAATCCAATAAGGAGCCTCAAATATGTCAGACCCTCCCGAAAGAAAAGGAAAGTGAGAAGGGGAAAGTGCCCATCAGTCCCCACAGCCGCATGGAGGGTACAGTCTTCTGTGTCGTAAAACACTTGTTGATAAAGTGATGGCTGGCTGAAGTTTATAAAGGTCTCAATTTTACACTCCTGTGCAGTCTTAAGATTTGTGCAAAAATACATTTGCCTATTCTGTTACTTGTCTAAAACTGTTCTTGGGATGTATTATTTGTACAAAGGAGGCTTTTAGACACCCAGACATTAGAATGTGTTGCTATGTCCTATGAAATAGGTTACTTCTAAAATCTGCAACTCTGACTGGTTGTACTGTTTAATAATTTGTTGCCTGGGCCATACTATTCAAATGAACATGTCTTTTCTTTGTGGAAAAACTGTAAAGCCTTCTGAGGTTTATTTGGTGAACGAGAGTAGAATTATAAATGAGCAGAAGCCGTGATGTACAGTCTTTACTCAGACAGAACTGTAAGGGTTTTGTCTCCGCTGGAGCGAACAACCACGTGTCTGCTCGTGGTCCCCACTCTCACTCTGGTGCAGCACCTTCTCTAGTGTCTTCCCAAGAAATGTGCACGTGAGGTAATACTTGGTGCCTTCCTCCACATTGAAAAAACATCATTATTCTTCCTACACTTCACACTCAATAGCTTTGCTGAATATCAGTGTTTAATATTAAAATATTTTTTCTCACTTCTGGCCAAGATGGAGGAGTAGGTAGATACACTGTGCCTCCTCACAAAACCAAAAGGAGGACAACAACAATTTAAAAACAAAAAACAACCAGAACTGACAGAAAATCGAACTGTATGGAAGTCCGACAGCCAAGGAGCTAAAGAAGACACATTCACCCAGACAGACAGGTAGGAGGGGCAGAGATAGGCAGCTGGGTGGAGAGGACTAGAGGCAAGGTGGTGGCTGGAGGACCCAGTGAGGCAGCAGCTGGTGGGGCGGGCGGTCCCCCATTTGTATGCTGATAAACTGGGAGGAACAACTGGGGAGCTGGACAGGCTGCATAGCCCAGGGCTCCAGTGAGGGGAAATAGAGCCTCAAACCACTGATTGAAAACACCTGTGGGGGTTGAGGCAGTGGGAGAGACTCCCAGCCTCACAGGAGAGTTCCTTGGAGAGACCCACAGGGTCCTAGAACGTGCACAATCCCACCCACCCAGGAACCAGCACCAGAAGGCACCCAATTTGCTTGTGGGAAGTGGGGAAAGTGACTGAAATCTGGCAGAGAGTAGAGCAAGTGGCACTGTCCCCTCTCGGATCCCTCCCCCACATACAACGTCACAACAGAGCAATGTGGGTTACCCTGCCCAGGTGAACACCTAAGGCTCTGCCCCTCACTATGTAACAGGCACATCAAGACAAAAAAAAATGACCCAAACAAAACAACAGATCAAAGAGCCAGAAAAAATACAACTAAG